TAACTATTAAGTTAACCAATTGGATGAATTATTTTTTAATTAAAATATAAATATGTAACTATTAAGGTAACCAATTGGATGAATTATTTTTTAAATTAAAAAATTAATTCGGAATTACGTTAGTTTCATAATAAAATTACACTTTAATAATAAATATTTAAATGAATTTTGGTTTAATTGTACAACTTACCACATCGATGAGTTGGGATAATTTAAGTTTGATGCACACGCGCAGAACGTCTGACGTGTTGACAACTGGTCTGACCAATTTGTTGTAATTTGACAGCAAATCGTCGTAAAGACGTTTCGCGTCCGGATTTCCGGCGACCGCACCGTGGACCACCAACGCCGAAAGGAACCACACGCGTAGTGTTTCCCCTATTATGGGGGGCATTGTGGATGATCCCCGTTTCCTCCACTATGATCAAACAACCCTTTTACACGCACTCCGAACTTCTCCCGTTTCAACCCCGTTCTTTCTCAAACTTTGACAATCCAAATACTCGACGACGATCTACCAATCGAATCTGCGAACGAAACACACACACGTCTACTTTTATTTCTTTTACCGAATTGATTGATTGATTTATTTATTTATTTATTTTCATCGACGAACATAACGTATATCATATTTGTATTCGTTTTGTTTTATTTATCGATATTTTTTCGGGTTTTTATATTTTAATTGTGATATTTTAAACGATGGTGGTAAGGGGGAGGGGACTGGGGTGATTAGTATTTTTTTTTATTCAACGTGATAATTAATACGTATTTGATTTTTATGTAGAATTTCTAGTTAGAAGCAAAATATTGTTACAACACTTTGAAGATAAATATTATTTGTATTTAAAAACTTTTGAATAATTTAATAAATTACTTTGTCGCATATTATAATGTTAATCTTTGTTTTTAAATAAATATAATAAAATTAACACGTATTAGATTTTTATGAAATTTCAAGTTAGAATCAGAATATTATTACACAACTTTAAAGATAAATATTATTTGTATTTAAAAAATATATATATATTTTGAATAATTTAATAAATTATTACTTTGTCACATGTTACAATATTATATAATCATTGTTTTAAAATAAATATAATATAATTAACACGTATTAAATTTTTATGGAATTTCAAGTTAGAATTACAAAATTGTTACAACTTTTTAAAATAAATATTATCTGTCTCTTTAAAAGAAATTTTGAATAATTTAATAAATAATTTTGTCACATATTACAATATTAATCTTTGTTTTCAAATAAATATAACAAAAATCATAATTATCATTCATTCAATTAATGAATTTATTTCTACAATATCTGATACGTATTAATCTACCCAAAAAAAAAAACAAAAAAATACCACACATAACATACGTTTTGTAATAAATTAATGCAACACGCGAATGTCTGTTAAAAATAAATCTTTTAATAAGTTGTCTAAATGAATTTTTAAGCATCCAATGTTAATAACAAGAAACTAAAGTGAATAATCTTTTTTTTTTTCGGTGGCTTGTATCAACTTGTGTGCTCTCTCTCTCTTTCTCTCAGTCTCTCTTTTTCTCTCTTTATCATTCAAACCGCAAAGTATGGATATGATTTTATGCAAATGGTTGAGCCATGTAAGCTGCGTTTTGTGGGACAGCATTTAAGATACGCCACACGATATACGTGTAAACTTGGCAAGATGTTACACCCGTGCATAGTGTTTCGTGTTTTCATTTATGTATATCACGATGAAATAAACTTTCAAATACGTTTTACTCTCCTCTCTTTCTTTCCTTTTCTTTTTATTTATTTCTTCCTTTTATTTAATGTTTTATTTTTCACGCATTTAAATAAAATTTAAATTCTACGAAAGTGATTTCGAATAGATAGAAAATCATTCTCTTTTGTACAAACCAACGTTTCATTTCGTTACATTGGTTAAAACTTTTCTACGACAAATTAAAACGAGTTCTAAATTCTGGTAGAAGGAGAGTTTGGAAGGAAAAGGGTTGGATGGATGGGTTGGTGAGGGAAAGGGTTTCGTTAAAGAGTATTTAACGTGTCTAATGAAATATATCGTATAATCTCGGCTAATTAAAGTACCATTATTATTTATATGTAACGATAATAAGAACTGTATTAAACTGTATATTCATATATAACTAAATTGAAATTGTTTCATTTTGAACATCGTATTAAAGATAAATATTACGAAACAATAATACACGTATTTAATTATAGAAAATACACAGATGTGGACAAACAAAAATTATTACATATTATAATTATTATGAAAATTTGATTTTTGTGACATAATTATTATCACGATTGTAATTTATTATTAACAATGTATTTTCCTTTTTTTTTTTTTTTATTTGCGTTGAAATATTCGATAAGTTTTGTTATACGCGTGATATACACGAAATGTTTGATACTTTTGGGATGAGATTAAAGCGTGAAAGATTTAATGATAGTACAGATATAGACCAATGTAGATTTGTGTTATGCGAAATCGTTGAAATAGGAAGGAAATGGAGGGACACTATACGAGAATATCGGAATAGTATCGGAAGTTCAGTGTTTGCACTGGAATCGACGAATCCAGTTTGCGATCTTGTTGTTATATGAATTTACGTTCGATACAATTGATCATTTGTTTTCTTTCTTTTTGTTCTTTCTTTCTTTTTTTTCTTTTGACTATACAAAGAACAATACGTTATAACAGTTGTCAATCAAACGAAACGTTATTTAAATCTCTATGAAAAGTATATCAATATTTTAAAAAAATCATCATTTTTCTTTTAAGCTCTAACTTTCTTGAATAAAAAATTTTCATGAACGTGTCTCAATACAAAACAATAAATTTATATTCGCATATATTGGAAAAAGAAAAAACAATCAAAAAAAATTTCCAGAATAGAACAAAATGAAAAAATAAAGTAACACAAAAGTATCATTCATTATTATTAATAATCGATTCACGAAGAATAATTTAACACACGTTACATATTTATCACTCGTATTTAATAAAATCACTTGGAAGATTACGCTACACTACGAATCACCGTCGTAATATTATCATCATTTTTTACTTTTAAATTAAATTAAAAAAAAAAAAAATAAAAAACATATATATTTATACGCAGTGACACACACGTAAATGAAATTAAAACAATGATAGTAAAAGTTTCGTATCATTTTTTTTTTTTTTCGCGTAATTAAAAATAAGATAAAAGAAACGATAGAGAAAAAGATATATAAAAGGGGGTAGATAAAAGATAAAAAGAAGAAGAAAAAGAAGAAGAAGGAATAAAAGAGACAGAGAGAGATGATCAAAAAGTTTCGCGGATGATTCGAACGATGAGATCCCACAGAGCGTGTAATTAAACCGGTACTCTCTCGATCGAGCTAGCGAACGTATTGTTATTCGAACCACTTGATTCCAACGTTGATGATCGATATTTCGAAACGTTGCTGGAACGAATGAACGAAAGAACGAAAGAAAAAAACCACGAACAACGAGCATTTTTCAGGCACAATTCGCGCCTTGTTTTTGAGCCCACACGAGAACGAATATAACCGCCACCGTGTAGATACTATACCGAGAATGAATGAATCTAACTTGTATAGATAGATAGATAGATAGATAGATAGATAGATACTACTAGTTTCCTATATTTATACATTTTTATTTGAGATATAAAGTTTGGTGACACTTTTTTTTTTCTACTCGATCCTCGTCAATCACATTTGTTTGATCAATCATCGAATTTCAACCGAGATCAATCAGAGAGAGGTAGTTAGACAGAAAGTAATAACGCGTACTTGTTAAATAAAGATATATGATGTGTATCAGTGTGTGTGTGTGTGTACGTGTACTTTGAAATTATTCGGAAATATCCTTGTCAATCATTTTCTTTGATTTATCATCGAATTTCAAACGACCGAAATAAATACATGTAATTATTATTAAGTTATTACGTTACATTTTTAGTTTTAAATTAATTTGAAATATTTATTAAGTTACTTATCATTGAATTACAACACAAAAAGAAACAAAATATATATGTATATATATATATATATGTTTAAATAATAATTCAAGAAT